AATTCCTTTTTCTGTAGGAGTTTCAGAAGAAGTAGCACCAACCACTGGTGCTGACAAAATCTGGTCTACCTATAAAGAAAATGAGCTTCCTGACAGCAAGTAATTATATGAATTCATGCTCTATTTATATGCAGCAGGTATCATGCTAGATTTTTGTTTTAATGTTTTGAGGAGCACAAGATTAGAAAATAAAAACTGAGAAACACGGCCTATCTTCAGTGTTCAGTCAGATGAAGGAAGCATACACATCAAATAACAAGAGATCAGGAGATTACAAATTACATAATGGAAACTAAAACCTATCAACTGTTAGGTAAGCTGAGGAAGACTGCAGATGAAGCTGGGTCTTAAAGAAGTGACAGTTTAATAACAATCCAAAGAAACCAAACTCACTGTCGTGGAGTCGGATCCGACTCAAAGCGATCCCTCCTTGGGTTTCCGAGGTGGTATCACTACAGAAATAGATTGCCCAATCTCTTCTGAGGAGTGGCTGGTGAGTTTGAACCACGAGCCTTCTGGTTAGCAGTCAAATGCCTCAACGGCAGTTGAGTTTTTTAACAACAGTATCGTGTAAGAGCAGTGCACAGCACTTCTCAGAAGTAGGAAATACTTACCTGTGGCCAGAGGATAATGGAGAACAATGGGAAAGAAGGCTAGAAAAGTGATTTAGATTCTAAAGGGTAGCCTTCAAAGTCAAGGAGTCCACTATACATAAATAAGCAAGCCTTAGAATAGTTTTAAATATTCATATTTTAGAAAGTTACAACAGCAATGTGGGTGATGGACGAGAAAGGCAAGAGTCAATTGCAATTTGCCTAGATTATAAGGATCAATTTAACTGGCCCTTTCCCTACACATTAATTTAAAGAATTTGAGATCTGCAAAACTCCCCACACTACAAAAAGCTAAGAACATCAGTATTCCCATTCTTAGTATGTGTGCATGTGTGCTACCTATTCAATAGATATTGTCTTCTATATACCAGATATTGAGAATAAAATAATGAGCAAATACAGATGAGGTCTTGCTTCCAGGAGTTCAGTCTGGTTTGGAGACAATATCACGAAAGAATTTCAGAGGAAGGTGTGTGAATGAAGACTCTGACTAGTCTTACGTTAAGAGAAGACTGCCCTGAAGATATAACATTTGAGTTATCACAAAAATACAAAATAAATCAACAGGAGCATTAGTCTATTTCTTTCAGCTACCAACAAATGAAAAGGGCTCATAGGTCATAAAAAGAGCATGACTTTTAAAATCTTAGGTTCAAATTCCACTCACAACATCCATAAACTAAGTGGTCTCAGGGAATTAACTTAATCCCTGCTTGATAGGATTCTATCCCCTCACATGGATGCTGTGAGAACTTTGAGTCTGGCAGTACCTAGAGCACAGTGTCTGACCAAGAGTAGGTATTCAAAAAATGTCCATTTGATTCCCCACTTCCTTCACCCTTTAAGATCAGACCAAGATAAAAATATTTGTTTCCACAAAAATAAATGATTTTTCCCAGTTTTCCTAAATTGAGTGCCAAGGATCTGGTAAAAGTCTTTGGCAGCTGGAAATTTGGCCTATGCTCATAGAATCCTGGAATAGGAACTTAAAAATCTAATTTATGAGGGAGATTTTTTAGAACACTTTTTAATCTTCCCAGAGTACTTCCATTCTTCTAAAAATTTTGCTGCCAAAGAAAAAATGGAAGGTATAAATACTTAAGAGAGAAATGTATAAAGCAGAAAATCTAGGTTTTAAAAAACATTAAATATATAAAACTATTTAATAGTGTTTTTTTTTTCCCTAAAGTTCATGAACAATAGAAATTAAACTGCATATAATAGGAGGCTAGAGGTGAAAGAACAGAAATTAAACAGAATCTAAGTTTCACACAGACAAACTGATAAAGGGTAATTTGGGGGACAGTTCCTACCTGATAGAGAAACTCTGGTAGTGTAAGCAGGTAAGGCATTTGGCTGCTAAACAGAAAGTCACTGGTTCAAACCCACTAGCTGCTCTGTGGGAGGAAGGTGAGGCAACCTACTTCTGTAAAGAGTTATAGACTTGGGAACCCAATATGGGTTTCTGTGAGTCAGAATCGACTCAATGGCACTGGGTTGGCTTTGGTTTTTGGTTTACTATCTAGTAAATTCAGCGATTTAAAATGGGTATTTTTAAAAGTATTTAAAGTAAAAAATGTCAATTAGTTTCTGAGGAGGAAAGATATCAGGCTAGGATAAATGAATAGCTATGAATTGGTAGAATTTAATAAGGCTTTACTTCTGTCCTCATTTTAATTTTTATTCTTGTTTGTATTCTAACATATACTTGGGTTCTAATTGCAACTATTCCAATTCAATACAACTACTACTTACTTAGTGCTCCCTATGTCTATATGAGTGGAAGGATATCCCAAACAGAGGAAAAATACGTGAGAAGACTGGAAGGAACTCTGCATATTCAAAGCACAGAAAATATTAGTATAGCTACATTCAAAGTGGAGGTGGCAGGAATGGCAGTAGTTGTGGTTAAAGATGCTAGAGGTAACTAGGAGCAATTACACAGGCTCTTGAAAGCCATATTAAAAAGTGTGGCTTTATCCCATGAACAATAAGGAGTCATCAAAGGATTTAAGCAATAGTGTGGCATGACTAAATTTTCATTTTTGAAAACTCACACAGGCTGCAGTGCAGAGAATGGACAGGAAGTGGGTAAAACTGGAGATAGGAAAACCAGTGAAGACACAGCTCCATAAACTGAGAATGAGGAAGCCTGAATTAGAAGGCAGTTCAAGAGTAAATAAGAGTAAAACCTCAAGAGAAGAAAGGAAACCCAAGAATCATTAAAGGAATCAGACTACAGGATTCATTGTCTCCATGAACCATGCCTCCTCCACTTTGAGACCAGAAGAATTAGATGAACAGTTGCTAGAGTACTGGAAGTTTGCACAGATTCTGAGCAGCTTAATTATATGTTCATATTGTTTCTTAATTTCTTTTTCTTCAGGAGGAAGAATTTAAGTCCCTTTCATAATTCACAAGGCTATCAACAATAAATGCTACTATATACTTAATATGTTATCAGGCAGTAAACTAGGCAGATTATATAAATTATTTTTAATATTCCCAACACCCCTGAATAGTAGATATTATTCTTCCCATTTTACAGATGAGAGAACAGTCCATCTTAGAGAAGTTGAGTGATTTGCCCAAGACTACAGAGCTGGAATATAAGCCTCGTTTTATATACTCTAAAATTCTAGTCACTACACCACATGATGTCACAGATGATTAACAGATTGGATTCCTTAAAAATATTTAGCAACTGTAAGATATTAAACCATAAATTTTAAATGATAAAGGCTGTTTTATTCAATATTTAATAAACTGTGTACAACTTCCAACTCATGGTTACCCTCTAGGACAGAGCAGAACTGCATCATAGGATTTTCAAGGCTGTAAATCTTCACAGAAGCAGAAAGCCAACTCCTTCTCTGATGGAGTAGCTGGTGGGTTTGAACCACTGACATTTTGGTTACCAGCCAAGCACTTCAACCACTGTGTCATCAGGGTATAGGAATTGATTTGACAGCAGTGGATATACAACTTACAAACATTAGCCATACATATTATTCATATCTATTCATACCTTTGGCATGCTAACTTGATTTCAATTTTTTTTAATAATGGAGAAGAGAGATAAAATGAAGCAATAAAAGATAACCACACAGTATTTGAGGTTCAAGAATTATTATCCTGGGTCAAAATTTTTCCCAGTTGATCCTTGGGATACACATTAAATCAAATGAACTACCAGCCACTACCTATTCTTACTAAACATATTTGCTTCTTAAAGTTAAAATGGTTAAAGTGTTTCCGACTAAAAATAATAATAATAACCTCTGATTAAAAAAAAAAAACAGCGCCATCAAGTTGACTTCGACTCATAGTGACCTTGTAGGACAAAGCAGAACTGCCCCCACAGAGTTCCTAAGGCTGAAAATCTTATACAGAAGCAGACTCTCCCACAGAGTGGCTGGTGAATTCCAACCACTTACCCTTTGGTTAATAACCAAATGCCTTAACCACTGCATCTACCAGAGCTCCTCTAAATATCACTATTTCTATGAATGAAAGACAACACATCTGAATTTGAATATAATATCATAATATTCTCTAAGTAGAATCTATAAATTTATTGTATTGTGAGCTCTTCCTACTAAGATTTTTCGGATATCCAAGTCATCCACCAAGATATTGTTTGAAAAAGTCTAGATATTTAACAAAAATAAACTGATGCCATATCATCTTTATTTTCCTTAACAAAATATATACAAGAGCACAAAATTCACTTATATGTGATCATTATTTTACAAGTATAAATAATGCTCACAATTCAAGTACAGTCAAGTGCAGAGATATTTCCTATTTGTTAATATGTAAACATAAGCTAATTATATACATCATGTGCTTCTGGCCCAGCTGCAACATAAATAACATCACAAAGAAACACTGCACTTGACTGTTCAGTCGTATTCTTACTGAAAATTCCTATGAATGCCTATGTCGTTATGGTTACAGTTTTCATACTGCTCAATGTAAATACCTAAATAGGCACTTTCCCCCACCTGGCAAATAATTTGAGTTACACATTTTTTAATGATGAAGTTGTCAAAATCTTAATTGAGTTTCATTCCTTGAATCAAGTACTACAGTTCTAGGCAAATGGGTATAATTTATGGGTCATACATGTAGAAAATAGGGATCCCATCATGTTTGTTTACTTTTAGAATGGACAAAAGGTACCGAAAAGTTGTCTACAAGAGATGTTACCTTACTGATATCACTTGCTTTTAATTTTAATACCCAGTGGATACACCTTTGACATTGAAATAGCTAGGCAATCTAAACTCAAATGATATCAAACATATTCTTAGAGGGGAAAAAAAATGAAGAAATGCCACCAAAAAGCAATAACTGACATCAACAAGACTACAAACATCCAGTTGAAGGCACGTGGAAGCATTTACTCCTTTGTCATCAAAGATTCTCCACTTAGTTCCGGATAAGGAAGAGAATCAACACTGGTAATTGTTGACTTGGCTTCATTCATTGAGGTCTCCTCATTCTCGGTCTCTTCTGGTTTCTCCTCTGGTTCCTCTGTACCAGGTGCTTTTTCAATCACTTGGATTGTCTGCTCTGTAGCTGATATTTTGTCATCTATTTGTTCTGTACTGTTATCAGTAACATCTTGTTCTTCTAAAGATTCTGAAATGATAACAATTAAGGACTTCAGAAGTATCAAAATGTTAAAAATACTAAATAAAGCAAGCAAAAGATAAAAACACACATACACACAGACTAGGAAACAGTAGAATTATTCTTAAAATCTTCTGAAACATGTAATTAACTTCCTATAGTATACCATATATGATTTGGTATGAAGAAGAAAAAAAAATTGAGGGGAACAAATCCTTAAATATACATTTACCTAGAGCCTCATATTTTCATATAAGTTACTAAAATGCTTATAAAAGTTGAATGTCCAGAAATCAAATTCCAACACAATTATATAAGACAAAGAGCTCAGCAAATGTATCCATTCCTTCATTCCAGATTACATTTCATAAAGGAACTGTTTTCCTTGAGCCCCAGAAACCCTGTGAACAGTGAGTACCTTTGTGTGTGTGTGTGTGTGTGTGTGTGAGTACGTGTGTACAAGAGATGCTATTTCCCACACTGATGTAATCACTAAGATTCAAGGATTGGTGAAATAAAATCCACATTTTCCTAAAAGCATGACAGTTTTCCCCTTACCCCTCTGCAGGACAACCCTCAGTCTTTAAACCTCTAGGTTAGAATACGCAAATACCTGGAATGCTAGGGAGACAAAGAGAAGGGTCATTTCTCGTCCCCACAGTTGAAGGATCTTAGTCCATACCTAATAATTCACTACTTTAAGCTTTAAAGTTTAACTCTGAGTTTTACTAAATTTAACTCCCTTAATGATCATTTAGGAGCTTGGTGGCGTACTGCTGGAAGCCCTGATTGCATAGTGGTTAAAAGCAGTCAACTGCTAACTGAGTGGGAGATGTGGCAGTCTGGTTCTATAAAGATTTACAGCCTTGGAAACCCTATGGGGCACAGGGTTGCTAGGGGGCACGGGGTTGCTATGACTCAACGGCAGTGGTTTGGTTTTTGTTTTTTAATGATCATTTAATAATAGCAATTTTATTAAATAACCTCCTTTTAATTCTTTAAAGAACTGGGGAGGGATGACAGAAGCAGACAAAAATAAAAATCTACCTTTGAGGTAGTTTCTGTTTTGTTCTTGTAACAAATAAGTTAATATTCTTGCTAGGAAAAGTAAGATTAAACCACATTGTTGTTATTTGCCGTCGAGTCGGCCTGACTCATAGTGACCCCTCCTTGGGTTTCCAAGGCAGTATCACTACGGAAGTAGGATTGCCCAACCTTCCTTCC